GTTTATATAGAGCCGAGGCTCTAAACCATTAAATTAGAGCATACCTCCTCATTAATGGATTTCAAGTTTTGGAAGTAGTGATTTTGTAACACATTTTTGGACTGTCAATTTTCAAGATTTTCAAGTTTTCATAGATCTATCGACAGTGTTTTCGCCCGCAACAAACCTACTATGTCTATTGCGGCAACCACAGCATACATCGTAGGTCTGGTGCAGTATTTTTCATGCAAAAAAACAAAAGCAATCGCCTTCTATATATATAGAGAGAGAGATATACATATGACTGCAACACATTAAACAATAATACTAAAAATTATATCTTTTTTAATTTTTTCAGAAATTGGTGGAGGGTACATCCGGGAACATAATAGTAGAGGTCTCAAAAACACATCAGGCCCTTCAGTAAGATTATCTCCTTCCTTCTCTCTCTTTTCTAATTTTCATCCAAATTGATGAATGTAAGTGCATAATTTCTGGTTTAATGTTTATTTCTTGCAATGTTGGGTGTCTTTCTTACATTTGTTGCGAAGTTTAAGCCCCCAACAAAATGATGATTTCCTCATTCAGCTCTCTCTTTATAGTTGTTGCAAAATTCAAGCCCCTCACTCTCTCCTCTGTAGTTTTTCCCCGACTTTCTCTAATAGCCTACCTTTCTCTCCCCTGTACCATATTTTCTCTCTCATCTTCCCTCTATGCAACAGCTTATTTCTCTTCATTCGGGGTCGTATGGATCGGGACCCGGACCCGGACCCGACCTGGGACCCAATAGACCCAAATTGGGTCCAAGTACAGGTCTAAAATTGAATTCAATTGGTCAAGTCTGGGTCTAAATCTTGGACCTGAGCGCTATTCGAGTCCGAGTCCGGTAATACTTTTCAAGTCCTAATATATGAAATAAATTTCAATATAATTAAATATATAGGTATTTTAATTATTGGGTCGGGTCAGATGGTGTCCGGGTCTGGGTCCCATAATATATTTTCAGGTCTAAGTCCGGGTCTGATAAATTCGGGTCCAGGTCCCATATCATCCTTTTTTTTTATCCAAGTTCAGATCCGAACCCGTTGCCACCCCTTCTCTCTCCTTATTTGAGCTTATGCCTCCCTACCTTGGTGCTTACTTCTCTCTCTCCTAGAACCAATCCTCTCTCACTCTCTCTCTTATTCATGTAGTTGCAAAAGTCAAGCCCCTAACAAAATGAAGAAAATTTCCTCATTTAGCTCTCACTCTCTAAAATTAACTGAAATTCACTCTCTCTCTCTCTAAAATTTGCTCAAAATTTGATGCAGGGCTTTGGATAAAACAATGTCCTCCCTGGAGATGGAGCTTGCAGTGGCTCGAACCTCACGAACAAAGGCTGCAAAGACTCGGCCCACAATGCAAAAGGCCTTCGCTGTAATTGGAATCAACACGGCATTTAGCAGTAAGAAGAGGAGAGACTCAGTCCGACAGACTTGGATGCCTACTGGTATGTGGTTTGTATGAAGCCCAAGCTCTAAACAATCAAAGTACAGCACACATTCAAATACAGTTGAGAGATGTGGTTTCAATATTGAAAATCTTTGTGTTAGCCTTAAAATATACTTTCATCTTTATTTATAGAATTTAAAACTTTAAAAATAATATAGATCGAGCATATCTATGAAAAGGGCAATGATTTCATGCAACCGTTGTATAGTAATATGATGCAACAACTTTAAAAAATCATCTTATGGCCATTTGTTTGATCCAAATCTTGAAATATACACTCTTTTCATTCTAACAAACAATCACAAAAAAAATAAAAAATTGAAAACACAACTTAGAAAGTATTTTTTTAGCCCAATTAACATAGGCCGTTTATTTTGGTGAGATGCTGAGATCTAAGCCTTGAAAGGATTTTTTCATTTCGAATTTTTTTTTATGGCTTTATTGTCATTAGATAAACAATGTTAAAAAAGAAAAAAATGATTTTGACTTTATAAAAGCTAAGATCTTGAAATTCACAAAATGAATGATCCAGATTCGTTTTTGAAAGGAACTCATTTTGACCATATCTAGAGTTCAAATTGAACTTGGTTTTTGGGGGGGAGTGATTATTGAGATGAAGAGAGTGTGTGTACAAAATTTAGGGTCGTACAAATACCACAAGCATGATTTTCTAGAAGTGTCGTTGCATTACACTATGATACAACCGTTGTATTGGATCATTGCTCCTATAGAAATTTGAAAATCATGAACATTGACGGTCCAAAACTGCGTTACAAGATGCACTATTTCCAAAACTTGAAATCCATTTTTTTTCATGTCCATACATCTTGATGTCGAGATGATCAATTTGAAGACTTCAAAACAACTACTTCTAGTGAATTTTTGAGGTGGGCTCTACTTTGATTGTTTAGAGCCTCGGCTCTATATAAACTTTGCCCTTCAAATTCTTATTCTATCTTCGAAATTGAGTGCTTAATATTTTAGTTTACCGATATAAAATATATTTTAGTTTAATATTATTTCCAATATATCTAATTATGCTCAGTTTTGGTAGTACACATCATGCATCTATAGGAAAATAATAAAAAATATGATTCTATACAATATGACTATTTATTTTTTGTACAAGGATGTCACAATTAGTACTAGCCATTAGATATCAAATTGGATGCCTTGGGATGTGTCATAAAGTTCGAAAAATTCTTTTCTTAACTTAAAATCTAGTCAATGATATACTCACAACCATCCGATTTGAAATTTGATGGACATAAGTGATTGTGATATCTTTGTATTAAAAGTAAATGGTCTCTTTGCATACTTTCCCATAAAAAATAGAGATTGCATATTAGAAACCATTTGTTTTTTTTATAAGAAAGTCACGACTTTTTTAGCCATTAGATGTGAAATCCAACATATTAAAATATATCATAACTTTCAAGAAAATGTGTTTCAGACTTTATACTCAATTAGCGACACATCACTGCCCATCCAACTGTTAACAACGATTTTGACCTTCTTGTATCAAAAGTAATAGTCTCATCGTATACATTTTCTAAAAAAACAACTCTTTTATCTTATAAGGGTGTTTTAGCTTGACATGATTGTATACTACTAGGTATTTATCTTTATTATAAGGAGGTCACAATTGCTACTAGCCATTAGATGTCAAATAAAAAAGTTTGAGATTTTTTTAACTTTAAGCCTAATCAATAACACACTCACAACCACACAATATGAAATCTAATAGACAGAGTATTATTCGTGATAATTTTGATGCCTATAAACCATGTTGTGATCCAACTTAGGATCAAAGCTCAAGAGACTCGAAAAGGAGAAGGGGATAGTGATTCGCTTCGTGATCGGGCACAGTCCTACCCCAGGAGGCATTCTGGATCGAGCAATCGACACAGAGGAGGCCGAGAACAAAGACTTCCTCAAGCTGGACCATATTGAGGGCTACCACGAGCTCTCTGGAAAGACGAGGATTTATTTTGCTACTGCAGTTTCGATGTGGGATGCCGACTTCTATGTCAAGGTCGACGACGATGTCCATGTCAACCTAGGTCTGTATCGGATTTCTGCGTTAGATGCCCTCTGATCGTTTCGGAAAATATATCGAAAGTGTTTTCACAATGCCCTTGGTTTTTTTGCTCATATTTTGGCAGGCTTGGGGGTCAGTTTATTCATTTTATTTGATTTCTAACTGCATTCGAATTGGGTAAAGAACATGGTAAATTTTTTTAAATAGGAAAAATACCATTTGAATTTCACGACTATCTCAAAAAATTATCCAGGTGGTTAATCAATTTCCAACAAAGAAGTTATTTTAAACCGATCATGTCATTGAAGTACCTCCTCAATTATTCAGTTACAATATCTAAAATATTCTTACTCTAGATTTAGAATTTGAGTATTTTAACAATTTGGCACATGGCATTAGTGGGCCAAATTACCAAAATACACTTGCCAGCCCCGGGTGACAAGAGGTTATAAGAAAAACAGTGTATTTTGGATTTGGGATACAAAACACATAGCGCGGGTCATTTAAGTCCTACCAAATATTGTAAATACCCCTACTTGTTTTCGGTCCTAAATCAGAATGGGAGATATTAATGAAAGTGCATATTATGGATTCGCAACCGAAATAAGCAAGAGTTTTTATCGTTTGGCCACTAAAGTTGGCCAAATTACTAAAATATCCTTGTTTATTTATTGTTCTAAACCGAGGATAGGAGCATTTTGAGTATTTTTGATAAAATAGTAAAAACAGTTATCAAAATACACACGAGAGTTACACGATTTAGCATTTTACACATATTTTACTTTAATTTCAAAATACCCATTAAATTACATATAAACAGGAATAGTTGAAAAAAAAGGATACAATATAAAATTGCTTAAAAGCTATGTGTATTTTGAAGAACTGTCCTAAAATAATTGAGGATTTGCTTGACTGTAATGATCTTCCCAAAAATGATAACTTTATTGTCAACCTAAATGATTTTTTTTAAGTGATTTGATTATTCTACTCGTATTTTCCCTAAAAAGTAGGAAGAAATATTTCCTTATCTTCCAATTACCCTTTCCTAAAGAGAGGACATGTTTTCCAAGTAGCCATGTTGCCCTTCTTTTGTATCACCCATGATCGCCTTGCCCCCTCACCAAGCATCTAAAGATAATACTCAACATAAGTTTTACATATTACAACATTTAAAAAAAAAAGGGTGAAGTTTCTATAAAGCCTAGGCTTTATGAAACAAAATAAAGCCTCACCTCAAATCGTCGACAAGCACTTTTGGCAACAAAATTCTCCACGATGATTTTAAAATCAATTTTCAACACCAACAATAAAATTTGAAAGTAAAAAAATGTACATATCTTGTGGATCTGTGAACACTTATTTTTAGGACGAAATGGACGGTCTAGATAATGTGTTACAATATATATTATTTCTAGGTCTTGAAATCCTAATTTTTCTTCACAACCATAATGTTCAAGTTGAGATGATTCATGTAAAGGTTTTCCAATGCTTGAATTACAATTTTTTACAAGTTATGAGGTGACGCTTTACTTTGTTTTTGATAGGGTTGCAGCCCTATCCAACTATTTTCCAAAGAAAAATAAAAACAAAGGTTTGATATATTACTATAAAACTAAATATCTGTGCAAATATTCGTATGAGGAATAACAAAAGGAAGAGTAGGCTCTCAACTTCTGTGTTGTGTTTAAAGGGATGCTCGTGACAACACTGGCACGCTATCGATCAAAGCCAAGGATTTACATTGGCTGCATGAAATCTGGGCCTGTGCTTTCACAAAAGTAAGTTTTTTAAGGAGAATCTTATATTCAATTTCATTATTTTCTTACATCCTTTATCTCCATTTTCCCCTTAATTTTTAAATGTTATTGACCACCCTTCTATTTATCAAAATTTGGCATACCCAACTTATGTTGTCATGGATACACCTATACATGTAGGTGCATTAAGTTCCTTAATTCAATGCTTATGGTATATTTCATTTGAGCAGTGTTTAAAAAGGCGGACTCGATCTCGGACTGGTCAGGGTCTCAACCCCAAGTCACCTAGTCCAGCTCGAACAAGTCCGATTGGGTTCAAAATGACATGACACCCTTTCAGTCCGCGTCAAGTCCCAAATCGGACTGCAATTTTTTAAGGAAAAAATTTATATAAGGGCGAGGCCCTAAACAATCAAATTAATTTGCACATAAAAATTTTACTAAAATAAGTTGTTTCGATGTTAAAAAATCTTCAAATTGATTATCTCAACCTCAAGATGTTTAGACGTGAGAAGAGATGGATTTCAAGTCTTGAAAATGGTGCATCTTGTAATGCATTTTCGGACAGTCAGTTTTTAAGTGTTCATGGATTTGCTTGATCTATACTATTTTAGAAGCTTTAAATTTTATAATTAGATATGAAAATAAAATTTTAAGCCATCACAAAGAATTCTAGTAATGAATAATCTTTCAACACTATTCGAAAGTGCGCCATACTTTTATTGTTTAAGGTCTTGGTCTCATACAAAACCACACCCGTTTTCTAATCACTTCATTTAAGTGTGACATTCATGTCTTGCTCTAATGTTCGATTCTTTCATTGTACTTCTTAACAACTCTTTACATGACACTACTACTCTTTTGCTTAGTTTTTGTACAACTATTTATGATGATTGAGAATGATGCCTATGACTACTATGATAATTTTTAAAGAAAAATCAAATTTTGAGAAGCCATGAACTTGGTATTTTTTTGGCTTTATTCTTTGCAGGGGTGTCAAATATCATGAACCTGAATTTTGGAAATTTGGAGAAGAAGGAAATAAATATTTTAGACATGCCACTGGCCAAATATATGCCATCTCCAAGGATCTAGCTGCCTACATCTCCATAAACTCGTGAGTATGAATCATGAAGGTCATTTGGATTCTTGTTAGCTATTTTTTTTTTTTAATGTTAATTCTTGTTAGCAAAATTTACACACACAACTGATGGCATATCTCTACAGGCAAGTGAGATTAAATAGGAGTGTAACTTTTGAATTTATTTTCTTGACTTATTTTCCCTCTTGTTTTTATGAAACCTCTCTCTATTTCCCTTTGTCAAATTCACTCTCCCATTTACTCCTAAATTCCTAATCCTATAAAATTTGATTATTTTTATTTAAATATAATGACACATTTGAGGGCAAAAAAGAAAAATTATACCCCTGTCCACTTGAAGGTCTTACCAAAGTTATTAAAACCAAACCGGGCCGGTGGTTTGACAAGTAGAACTCGTGACCAGAACCTTCTCCTGTCCGATAGAAGCCCTAAATCGGGATTTACACAAAAAAGTCTAAAGTTAGGGAGAAGTAGATTACAATATGAAAATAAGAAAATATAGTCAAATTATAAACTTGGTAAATTAAAATAAAACTTGAGGACATGATACCGAAGAACTTAAATTTAAATAAATAATATGTGGCCTTAGTTTGCATGTAGGTATACATTTATACAAGAATGCGATTGCATAATATGAGAAAATCTCACCAAACCCAGACAATGCATGCGGAATGTTTTTTATGCATCTCGACATGTGTTATTGAAGTCCTACAACAATCTGATTTAATAATATGGAATGAGTTGAGAACAATACTACATTTACATACTGACACCATCTGTTTATGATAATATAATTAATATGTGATACTCACAACCATCTGATCTAGGTCTAGATTAGCAAAATTTGATTCCTTTAAATACAAATTAATTATTTGTGCGCCATAAATCGCACAAGAAGCTCATCCATGTCATTTGTTTATGGGGACACACAAATAAATTATTTGTTATTTACCTATTTGCCTGAGAAAAGTCATGGTACTGGTTTTTTGTTTGGTACTAATGTGGTTTTTCATTTCAATAATCATAGCATATGGGATTTATTTTTATTATTTTCTTCATAAAATGCTATTTATGGGAAATATTTTTGATATGTTAATAATAATAATGGGAATTGAGGGTTGGACTATGTTGAGGCATCCATTTTTTGTGGAAAATATTACAGGCCCATCTTACATAGGTACGCCAATGAGGACGTTTCGTTAGGCGCATGGCTACTAGGCCTAGAAGTTGAACATGTGGATGATCGCACCATGTGTTGTGGGACCCCTCCAGGTAAACTATAAGGACATGTGGCAGCTTCTCATTGGTGCAAAGTGGTTTTCGCCGCTTGTCAGTTCTTGTGTAAGCTGAAACTTTTAGTTTTAGTGGTAGTTTAGGATACAAAAATGTTAAATTATATTTTAAAAAAAATAAAAAATGAGATTATTTATGTTTTGTACATAAAAGTCTCAATTAATCCATATCCAATAAGTCTGGATCCAACCAGCCCTATTGGGTAGGGTCAGGTTCAGCTTCAGCATGAACCAACCACATATACATATCTATATATACCTTTGCCACATCGGGTCGGGATCAATTTAATCGGCACATGACCCGTCGTTTACACCCCTAGAGACTCCTGCACTTGATCATTGCAATCCTTGATTTCAGCTATCACAGTTTTCGCTTCTCCTTCTTTAATCGTGCAGATTGTGAATGGAAGGTACAAGCCGGGAATGTGTGCGTGGCGTCATTCGATTGGTCGTGCAGTGGAATATGCAAGTCAGTGGATAAGATGAAGGATGTCCACAACAGTTGTGGAGAAGGTGAAACTGCAGTTTGGAATGCAATTATATGAGAAAAACTTGCCATGAAAATTCAATTATTGATTAAGAGATAGATGCTACATTTTACATGTTAGACACAAAGTGCAATTTGCTTAAGCATGGCTAGGTTAGCCTAAGGGTTATAGGTATTAAGTGGTCACACGTGTGGGGTCTCACATGTGAGGTACTTTTGGTGAGGGATTGCACTATTTTGATTTTCAATAAATATCAGGAAGATTGTTGCCTTTTTCTATTGGACTCCAATGTTTTAACTTCTCTCTTCATGTAAGTAAAATCAAAGGATTTTAGAAGTAGGGAAAGGATTTGGTGGTCTAGTGGGATCAAGTTGTATGTTTATTCCCGTGACCAGACACTTGGTTAGTATGTCTTTTGAACCCAAAACTCTCAAATCATCTTTGTCCCACTTAAAATTCACAATGATAGAGGGAGGTGTATGAACGCCTCAAATCAAGATAACCTTTAGGACTGAACATAGACCATATGGACCAGCCATTTTTTTTGTTTTGTTTTGTTTTGTTTTGGAGGGTTGAGGTTCTTTTTGTAGGCAATACCAACTATTAAATTGTTAAAATTTTAATATATTTGGTAAATAAATAAAAATATTAAATAAGTGGTGCATTAGGTTGTAAATTTCTTAAATAAGGCTCCTAATAGAAAATATATTCTCAATAATTTAAAATAATATTAAATACGTGTTATAATGGGTTTATTCATTAATAGTTGAAGGTGAGGAACTCTCTCTCTCTCTCTCTCCCCCCTTTAAAAGGTTGTTAAAGAAAATATTGTGGGAAGTTCTTCCGATTAAAAATACAAAGCCACTTGGAACGTGTTAATAGAGTCGGACTCGGTTGTGACTCGATTGCGATGACGAATGTATCCTCCAATCCGATTAGGCCGATTCCAAGCCACGACTTATAATTTAATTTTAAAATTAAAAGAACCTGAAATAATTATGAGACTTGGGTAATTTCAGGATTTTTGGCATAAAATTGCCTAATTTCCATTTCATGCTGATTAGAACTAGTTCAAGTTGGCTCGGTGCGTTTTTTAAAGGAAAACGTTACGGTAGAAGTAAAGTGCACCTGAAAGACCCAATAGAAAAGAGTGTTCCGAAGTTGGAAAATCTTTCAATTCATTATCTCGACCTCGAGATGTATGAATTTAAAAAAAACTTAAATCATAAAAATAGTTCTTCTTGTCACAAGTTATCTTGACCGTTGTTTATCAAAACAAGTTATCTTGACCGTCTATTTTCAAAAAATTTAAGTGTTTGTAAATCTATCAACAAAATTTAAAAGTGCCTTTTACTTGTATAGTATAAGTTGGGCACCTTGTACGAACCTCAGCCTTCTCTGTTAGGAATTTTAGAGGGGGAGGAACTTGTTGAACGAAAAAGTTGGTGGTTGTTTCATTACAATATATATAAAAGAAATACAATGGTTGAGAAATACAACTCAAATAAAGGTTTTTTTTTTTTCATACAACTCATATACAATTTTCATTATCAACATTTTCCTTTGTACGATACTTGTGTAATATATACTTTTGGATCTTGTTACATTCTCTCATAGTTTCCTTCCATGTACTGTGCATGATCACCTTGAAAAGGAAATGTCAATATTTATGCCATGCAGCCTTTCAGAAAACTAACAAATGGATTTTAATTCTATTAAAGTGCGCTTAAAAAACTAATAAGAGAAAATGTTATTCCAACTATAAAAAATCTTCTAATTGAGTATCTCGACCTCGAGATATATAAATATGGGAAAAAAATAATTCCAATATCTTACAATAAATTATCGAGACCATCTATTCTTAAGATTTCAAGTATTTTATGCATCGGCTTGATATGAACTATTTTTTAGATTTTTAAAATTCATAACTAGAAATAAAAATAGATTTTACATCTGTCGTAAAAGTTTCTAACAACAAATTATATCTTTAGATAATGTTTAGAGTTTGAGCCTTACTTTGATCATATGAGCTTCACAAACCATGCAAAATGCCCCCCTTTATTAATAAGGATGCAATTTTTATAAATAGGTCTTATGAAAAATAATAATAATAATAAAACGTCACTTTGAAACCTTGTTTAAAAAACACTTTAGCCACTACAAATATATATGATGGCTCTAAAAATAATTTCTACCACCAATTATAAAATTTATAGCTCAAAAAATAATACAAATCTTGTAATCTATAAACACATAAAAAAGAATGATCTAGATAATGTGTTATCTATACTACATTATTAAACAATAATTAAAAGGTAAACACGTGTAGCGAAAATAAGAAGGGTCATAGAGGTTGTGTGACACGTTCCTAACTCTAAAGGTATATAGAGAAAGAGAGTAAGGTAGAGAGAGTACAAATATTTTAGGGGAAGAAAGGGAAGAGAGAAAGAGAGGGCACATATTTTAGGAGATAGCATATCTTCTAAAGTAGGGTTCCTAACTCTAAGGGGAGAGAGAAAAAGAGTTCAATCTTCTAAAATAGAAAAAAGTGAGAGGGAATAGAGAGTAGAAAGGGAAAAGAGAGAGACAACACGCATTAATTAGATTCACATGTCTCTCAACCTCTCAAAATTGGTAAGCTATTTTTTATTTTTCATGCAACAAGATGTGCTACGTGTATCTCTCTCTGTTTATGCGTGAGTTTAATAAATTTATTAATTTATAGAGTTTTAATTTATTATTTGATTTAAGGAAGTTATGGCTTTTTAATTTTTTAATCAAGGTTTTTGCTCTTTAAAGTGAGAAGTTGGGTTAAGTAAATGTTAGGAATTGATGGTTATTGTATGTTCTTCATGTTATTTTTTTGGTTTTTTGTAGTGAAATTTTGGATAAAAGAATAATTTTCGCATGTAGTATGAATACCAACTTATATAATATTATTATGATAAACTATTAATAGTGAATATACCAATTTATGAGGAACCCTTCTTCCAATATTTTTGCAAAGCTTTTGTAGATTTTATTTTCAAATGAGATAAATACCAAAATGGTAGGATTTATTTCCATGACCCACAAATACTCTCTTTGTTCCATGACCCAAAATGGGTCGGGTCAGGTCTCGGTCCGGTTGGAGCTAGACCCCGACTCAGAAAAAAGTTATGGGACTTGGACTCACCTGGATCCGAAAAACATTATGGGACCTGGAATCGGAGCTTATATAT